AAAGCATTTGATACAATCAATCATGACAGATTAATTAATAAACAGGGACCAGAGGAGTTGTACTGAAGATTCAATTCAAATTCAGATTGAGGCAGTGTGCGGTTGTGAGCAGCAGGTGGCAGCAGAGTAAACAGTAACATATTTGCTGACAAAGGAGGCCGATGAAGGCTGAGTCCAGAATCACTCACTAATTATGAAATGGTGGAACACACATGGAGTTCCCATTTAACAGTGATGTTCAATATATAGTGAGTGTTATTCTTAGAACAACTTTTTGTGATTATGTGTAGATTTTTGTTTATTAGTAAGATAAATATTAGATTTCCTGACAACAGTGACGTCGTGGAAAGTTAATCTTTTTACGCACCAGTTTAAGTAAGAATTTAACTGTGATTCAGTGTCTGAGCTGTAAGCTGTGAGCTCATGAGCAAAACTAAAAAAAAACAAACACTTTGGGACAATACTGTGGTTATTGCTCGTTACAGATCAACACAGGGTAATCATTCTGGTCACCAGCTTGGTCAAACCTGCCATGGGATGGTAGCCAATGTAGTTGTTGGCCAAAAATGCTGTTTATTTGCCAAAGGCAAACGTGTTTTGTCTCGTCAGACTTCATCCAGTCCAATAAACGACAAAGTCAACAGCAGAATAAGCTGTTATAAGAAAGTTATATATTTAAAAACCTCTCTGGTTACTCTGGTATGAATAACTCTGAATCACTTCATGGTAAATAACACTATCTGCAAAAAACTGAAGGAATTCCAGATCACAAGTTTGTAGTTCACCATACAAGTGACGACCTTTGACCTTCACCAGGTTTTATTTAATTGTGTCAGAGAAACTCAAACGTGCTCTTCATGCAGCTGAGTACATCAAGCGTTTAAAACAGAAGCTGTGCAGGTCTGAGATCAGCAGCTCTCTGAAACACCAAACTGAGGTCCTGTTAATGCTGATATATAGTGACACAGTTACAGGGGTGAGTAATCCTTTTGTTTTTTTGTCTTTAACTTTATCAATAAAACAGCTGCAGCTTTCACTACAGCACGTGTGGTACTTTAACCTTTGTACTGTTTCCATCAGTTCATTTTGCAGTTAACATGTGAACATGTTGGATGATCTGTCTGCTGTCACTGGTGGTGCTGAGGTCTGAATCTGAGGGCAGCTCCTGTAATCACAAAGAGAACAGAACCATCACAAACTCAAATATAAAGTTTATCTCTTAAATCATGTGGAGACTGAAAACATGCTGTTGTTTGCACATGTTTAATATTCAGCTCTGCACATGAGCTGAAGCAGGATGCAGCCTGTTGCATTTACAGTATAATACTTGTGATAAAAGTACAGTAATGATAATTAGTGACTGAGCACTTTAGTCAGGGTAAATCCATTCACCTGCACAGATTAGCTAAACTAACTTTACAAAACAAGTTTCCCCGACAGCCGAGTGCTCATCTTAGCTAGCTAGGTCTCAGGACTTAGCTTAGGTAGTTACGAATTAGTTTACAAACACATTTAACTTACCGAAAAATAGTAATGTGCGGATCGATCCTGAAATATCGATTCCTCTGATACCAATCATTTAATCAGAATCAGAATACTTTATTGATCCCTGGGGGAATTATTTTTTGTTATTTTTTGTCACAGTGCTCCATTATAAACCAACATTAAGACAAGACAGACAATACGCTAACTAAGAATAGTACAATATATACATATATATACATACATGAGTCACTCATAAATAAATTTATGTTCTAGAATCGATTCTCACAACAAATAAAACACTGAAAAAGCCAAACAATAACATTCTTAAGTTATCAGAGTGACTTATATATCATGTTTAACCCGAGTAGTGAAAGCCCGCGGGGGTTTGAAGACGATGTGTCGGCTCAGATATTTAAAGTTTACACAGCTACATTCTCACCTGAAAATATGTTAAAAGGTTTTTTGCGACCCAGAAAGAGAAATAAGAGTGATATTAAAACTAAGTCGCTGCCGCCGTTGTTGGAAACCAGAATTGGCTGGGCCGCGCTATGAATTCTGTGATATGGTTTTTCTATTTTGTTGTCCGGGTGGACAATCGGGAGAAATTCGGGAGAATGGTGGCTCCGGGAGATTTTCAGGAGGGGCACTGAAATTCGGTATTCTCCTGGAAAAATCAGGAGGGTTGACATGTATGGTTGTGGCAACATCACTAACCATGTCAAACACCTCAGAGTAAATCATATCACAGAATATGAGGCGCCTATGTTGAGACGAACTGAAGAGGAGGACAGGGACAGGTGCTCTCACTGAGTCCTTTAGTGCTGCAGGCGGGCAAGGTGTTCAAATAGGCACAACTTCAGTTTTTTTTTCTATATGATGAACTCTGCATTATTAAGTGATAAGGACAAGTAGTCTGATGTCCTGTAATCATAATGACGCTATAATTTGAGATACAATAAATAAAATAAGTTTTTGTACAAAGTATCGGTATCGGATCAGTATCGTCGATACCACCCTGAATATTACTTGGTATCGGATCGGAAAGAAAATCAGTGGTATCGCACATCACTACCGGGGCCTCGGGTCCTTCTGTCCAGTTTACTGAAGAACACCTCAGGCTGTCAGGTTAAAACACTCGGTCGTGTTTTCGTAGCGTAAACGCTGGCCCTCCTCGCAGAGCCTACGCTCTATCTGCTATTCCCGAACAGAGATACGCAAGTTTCTCCGTGACTGCAGCTGCCAGTCAAAGCTGTCATGATGACATTTCACCCCAATTTAACACAATGGCGGTAGGAAGTAGAATCAAACTCATGGGAGAGGACACCCCTCGGACATCAATCAGCGTGATGAGAACTATTGAAAACAAAAGAAAGAATCTTTGGAAAAAAAATTATCTAAGGGGAATTAATCTATTTTAGTCTGACCCCAGTCCCATCCGCTAACATGGTGGAGGCGGGGTTTATGACCTATACTGCAGCCAGACACCAGGGGGCGATAGAGACGTTTTGGCTTCATTTTTGGGGAGCTGTCGCGTCGTCCATGTTATCTACTGTAATTTGTCTGTAGAGCTGGTCTATGGGGTTAACAGCACGAAGCTGTGTTGGACTGGGAACAGGAGCTTGCATCGCTCCAGGACCTCTTTGGGGAACTGGTCGTGTACACTAAAGTCTGTTTCTTTCGGCTCCCTTCAGTGAGCTGGGTCACATTCTCAGTTAGAGACTTGACAAAGTCCCTTAGTGAGTGAGCCTCTGGATGTTGGCAAATTCCTTAGTCGGTGGTGGTGTTGTTCTGGGGGAGATGCTGGGTGACTTCTCCTAGAAGACAGCATCTTGTTCTTGGCTGGGGAAGAGGAACTCAGGCCTTCTTAATGACTAGTGTTGAAACACCAGTCACTGTATTCCTGGAGAGCATATAAATTCTTCTTGCTGTTCTCCAGGGTTTCGGAAATGATTAATGCAGATGTGTGTTGTCCGTCAATTGTTTGGTGTAATTTAAGCTTTAAAAAGTGCTTGTTTAATTTGTTTAATGTTGAGCTTTCTGAGCCAAGCTGTGAGTCTGCCTTCATTTTGTTGCCATGCCAACTGCTGTTTTTTTTGAAAATGTAGCTGCCGTGTAAAGTTTGATTATTTTATTCAGCATTACTGTTCATATTTGTTTTTGTTTGTCCACCTTTCATTCAAATATGATTTTTGGTAAATTGACTGGTTCCCTTATAGCCCGGTTCTACTCGACCTGAGCACTCAAAGCTCTTTATGCAACATGCTTCATTCACCCAAGCACTTTTTTCTACTTAAGAGCTTTCTATCTAAAATCACACATAATTATATTCAGATATACGCATTGGAGAGCTCAGATATCGAGGATATTGGGCATGACAAATATCCTGGAACAGCCAGTGATTGAACCATGAACCTTCCGATTGGTATATTTCTCGGTCTACCAACAGCTACAGCTACCACCGTTTTGGGCTCTATATCTACAAACGGTAAGTGAGCTTTTTATTTATTTATTTTTAATTTTTTTATTCTATGTTTGTGGGTTCTTGTTGTTAGGTCTTGTTAAAGATCTAATCATCTTGCACAATGACAATCATATTAATTCACAATTCTGTAACACATGTGTTGCCAAGTGGCATTAACTGCACTTAAACCCAATGTAAAATCAGGTGCCAGTGTCTCCTTTGGTATGTGACACATGGCTGGTTAAATGAAAACAATCTATGATGTTGATAAAACCAAAGTGGTCAGAGTCATCGGCTATGTGAATGTTAAAATCCCCAACTATACGCTGTGTGTCCGTTAAAGGCTGATGATGCACCACAGCACAATAAAAAGGATTCTTATTCCTGACTTTAATCAGCTGTTCGCCTTCACTAAACTGCAACACTTCGTTGATACAGAGTGTGCAGAGGATGGAAGTCTTTTTCTAATAAGATTTTAAAGTCAGAGGAGTGAGGCATGTATGTGTGAACATGTAAATGTGGATATAAACATAAATGTGAAGTTCTTGATGATAAATCGTGTCTTTATTCAGATTTGATTTCTTTTTTGGGTGTCATGAGTGTAGAGTTATACAAGTAATTGAAGCGTGGTTTAAATAAATTAGCAAACACAAAGAAATATCATCCTGTGGTATAACACGGGAATTACAGAGAGTTGTTAGACAAAAATCGAGCTTAATCAGGAATGTGGAGAGGAGCAGAATTTTATTTGGTTACAGAGTTTTGAGCGCAATTAAAAAAGATGCAGTAGAGCATTTTAGGTCTGTAATAATTAAAAAAAAAAATCAAGTTCGTGTTTTAGTAAATACCTAAATGTTTGTAAATTATGCCACCCAGATGGTGTTTACATGCTGTGGTATTCAACACAAGATGATCAAACCACAGCAGCTTTGGCTGAGCTGTCAGTCAGGAGCGGTACGTTCCTCTGTGGACTGCAGGGGCTGATGGGAGCTTTGAAGAACTGCTGCATATCAGCGGAGGGGGAAGACCCGTCTGATCTCACAGCTCGTCCTTGTTTGGCCTCAGCTGCATCAGAGCGCCACTTCTCCCCAGGTTCACCAGAGGAAACACCACTGCACAAAATGCTTTTCCTCCCAGCTGCTGCTCTGTGCTGTCTGTGTTCAGGTGAGTGTTTCCAGCCAATCAGGAGCCAACAAAGTCAACCTGTAACAAACACTGTCACACTAACCTTCATCTATCTGTCTGTGTCTCTACAGCACTGGTTACCATGGCAGCACAGATGATTCAGGAGGATTTAACATTGACCAGGAGAGTTGGAGAAAGTGTCTCCTTCAGCTGTGGAGATGATGAATGTGACTATACTGGTTTGATCTGGTACCAGAAGAAAGATACTGAACCATTTAGGCTAGTTCTTGTCGTGGATACTGATGATGGTAGAGTTGAGTCAAGTTCTAATCATTCCCAGAAAAATGATTTTTCAGTTGAGATTAAACAGAACAGATACCAGTTGAAGATAGTTAAACTTGAGCATTCGGCCACTTATTACTGTGCCTGTTGGAAGGACGCACCCCACAGTGAGAAATGATGCCTGCAGCCTGAGCAAAAACCAAAGCATACAGAGATGTCAATCAGAGTTTGTGACAGGAAGAGAGCAGTAAACCACAGCCCAGGTGTATGTATTTCTTCACAATCACAACCATACTGAGGCTGTCCTGCTCCAGAAATGGAAAGCCGTTTCTTTGTTGTTGCTGTTGTTTCAAGCAGCTATTACAATCTTACGTATCTTTTTCAATTAGAGCTACAAGTTGGTTGTGTTACTAAATAGGGAAAGGAATGTGTGTTGGCAAAACTGATTGATTGAGAGCAAAGCTCTCAATTTACTGGCCGATCTACATCCCTGCCCTCACCTATGGTTACGAGCTGTGGGTAGTGGCTAAAAGAAGGAGATCGCGGATACAAGCGGTGGAAATTAGCTTCCTCCGAAGGTTGAATGGCATCTCCCTTAGAGATAGGGCGAGAGGTTCAGCCATTTGGGTGGGGCTCAGAGTAGAGCCGCTGCTGCTCCACATCGAAAGGAGCCAGCTGAGGTGTTTCGGGCATCTGACAAGGATGCCTCCTGGGCTCCTCTTGGGTGAGGTGTTCTGGGCATGTCCCACCGGGAGGAGGACCTGGGGCAGACCCAGGACACGTTGGAAAGATTATATCTCTCGGCTGGACTGGGAACGCCTGGGTATTCCCCTGGATAAGCTGGAGGAGGTGGCTGGGGAGAGGAAGGTCTGGGCTTCTCTGCTTGGGCTGCTGCCCCCACAACCCGGCCCCGGTTAAAGCAGAGGAAAATAAACGGATGGATGAATGTGTGTTTGCATCTTAACCCTTAGGTACTTTTCATATTCAATTTTCTTAGTATGGTGGGGGCCTGTATTGACTGAGGCCCAAGATTCCCTCTCAGATGTCTTCAACAAATACTGAACTCCTAGAATATTACAAAGCGGCAACCAATGGGCCGTGGAGCTGGGAGAACTTCTTTTTGTACTTTTAGGTTTTACACCACACGTTTTTGGAGCAAAAACATGGGTTATCATACACCATTATGCACTTTTTACCTAAGACAAACACGAACCATAAAGATTTAACTAAATTTGATTAAATTCAGCCTGAAAACTGATGTAGAGATTACTGATAGGGCAGAAATGTTTAGAGATAGTAGTAGTGGCCCATGTAGGGACTTCTGCTTTTAATGAGCAAAGCTGATACGATGAATAATTTCAGGTCTTCTGTTTTCTTCTACTAGGTTCCTTGACTGCAATGCAGTCTGTGGATAAACTGCAAGAAAAGAACAAGGATGTAGACAAGAAATGGAGAATGTGTGAGCTGTGGAGAAGGATCTAGAAAAAAGACTGAGAATAGAACTGTGCTACTGTCCGGCAGTACTAAAAGTGAGATTGTCTGAAGTAGGATAAAAAGAGATACTCAGGGGAGATCAAAGACAAGTTTAAAAACACATCACAGGCAGCACTTGGTAATGAAGCTTTTGCTTCCCCATGATTGCTTGTCATATTGAAGTGATGGTAGATGTTCTGTGGATCTGACAGAATTGAGCTCATTGCTTACACTTTATTTATCGGCATCTTTAAAGGTCCTCAAGGTCACCTTACATCAGTGCAACAAAATAAAAACATAACGTAACCAAAAAATTAAAAAAAAAAAGCATAAAGGCTAAAAAAGGTAAAAATAGACTAAGACAGTCATGATGAAGAATATGCAATTCTGAATAGATGGGTTTTAAGACATGATTTAAAAGTAGAGCAAGAGTTTGAAGTCTGGAGATCTGGAGGACCTTAACAGTCATGATGTTATAATGTCTGAAAGCCAGCTGTCCAAAAACAGCCCAGCGGCTAACAGCTGAAGCTAATAGCTGACAGTAAATATGGCCGAACAGGTAACGCAGAGAAACACTTTACCTGTCAGACAATATAGGTTCATAGAGTAAAACAAACTTGTGCAACTATACTAAGCAATACGTATAGAGAGAGAGCAGCGGCAGCTAAAACGCACCAGCGTTCACTCCCTCCCAGCGTGTCTGACACGAAGTGTTAAGTGTTATCGCCTAAAGTAGATTTGTTCACATTTTTGATTCGTAAGTAAATTCTTGGATTTCTCTTAAATTAACATTCTTATTTTCTAAGTTGTGCCTCTGAAGTCATACAGTAACTCAATATAATAAACAGTAAATGGCCTGTATTTGTATAGCGCTTTACTAGTCCCTAAGGACCCCAAAGCGCTTTACACATTGAGTCATCCACCCATTCACACACTGGTGTGATGGAACAAGCTACATTGTGGGGAGCCCTGGGGCGCACTGACAGAGGCGAGGCTGCTGAACGCTGGCGTCACCCTCTGACCACCACCAGTAGGCAACGGGTGAAGTGTCTTGCCCAAGGACACAACGACCGAGACTGTCCGAGCCGGGGCTCAAATCGGCATCCTTCCGATTACAAGGCGAACTCCCAACTTTTGAGCCACGATCGCCCAAATAAATATAATGCAAACCTTAATATAGTACTGAACATGTTGTTTTAGCCAAAGCTGAAAAATCACATTTTCAGAAATATTCATTATTTGGGGGCCTTTATAGTAATTTATCTAGGGAGCTTGGGAAGAAAAGTGACTGGACTTCTTTAAGTTTGAAGTGCATGGGATGTCGTACTCGTAGAAGACTCCTGAGTTTTTCACTCCTTATGGAAACGGTTTATCAGCGAAACTCAGGAGAGTCTTCTCCCAGCATGACATCCCAGTTTACTGCCGACCCAGCCATACACTCAGACAGAAACTGGTTCATCCCAAAGACAAAACTCCCAAACACAAACTTAACAACGTGGTGTTTGCTGTACAGTGTAGCGAGGAATGCTCAGACCTCTACATTGGAGAAACCAAACAGCCACTTCATGAACGCATGGCACATGGATTTCATGTCAGAGAGGCCTCAGTCCGTCCGAATTGTTTGCAACATCTCCCGCATCATCAGGCTGAGCCCAGGAGCTCCTCAGGGCCGTGTTCTCAGCCCACTGTTGTTCACCCTCCTGAAACACGACTTCCCTGCCCTGCACAGCTCTAACCACATCATCAAGTTCGCTGACGACACAAACATGGTTGGACTCATCAGCAGCAACGACGAGTCAGCGTACAGAGATGAGGTTCAGCAGCTGGCGTTCTGGTGCAGTGAGAGCAACCTGTCACTGAATGTGGACAAAACCAAGGAGATGACTGTCGACTTCAGGAAGACTGGCTCCACCCATACACCACTCAGCATCCACGGTTCCACGGTAGAGACTGTTAATAGCACCAAGTTCCTGTGAGTTCACATCTCAGACGACCTTACCTGGACCATCAACACCGCCTCCATCACCAAAAAGGCCCAGTAGTGCCTCCCCTTCCTGAGATGCCTAAGGCGGGCCAACCATCCTTGTCCCACGCTCACCATGTTCTACAGGGGCACCATAGAGAGTGTTCTGACCACCTGCATCCCCGTGTGGTTTAGAAACTGAAAAGTTGGCAACCTCAGCCAGCTACATCAGATCGTCACATCAGCTGCTATGATCATCAGAACATCTCTCTCTCGACTACACCTTCCATAAGCGCTGCATCAGCAAGGCCTTCAGCATCGTGCTTGACCCCTCACACCCCTCACATGGGCTTTTCTCCCTCCTCCCATCCGGCAGATGCTACCCCAGCATCGGGGCCAGATCCTCCAGACTGTGAGACAGCTTTTTCCCGCCAGCCATCAGACTCCTGAACTCTCTACCGGTGTTCAGTGTAAAGTGTATATTTATTCTTACTCTTCCTATATTTATTGTTGTTCTTTTGCACTGCTGTAACTGGAGCCTCATCGTCTCGTCTCTCTATATACTGTACTGTATATAGCAGAGAGACAATAAAGTTTACTTTGACGACGATAGAAGAGCCACCCCTACAGGACAAGACTCAGCAGTCCATCTGCATCTAAAGGACAAAGGTCGCATTTCAAGGATACCAATGTTCACATTTTGGACACAGAAGGCAGAAAGAGTGAAATAAACCATCTATGTCCATTGTGAATGACCATCCTTGAACACAGGCGGTGGCCAACAACATCAACAGTCTGCCACCTACAGTACAGTTTTGAGATCCTGTCCCAGGCACCTTAACATCCACTCAAATCTTGCATCACTTGATCGCATGGCAAGGTAGTTTCACATGAAACCTTGGCTCATGTGATAAGGCACATGATCAATAGTGCCAGGTTTTTAATCCTAGTAGGAGGACTTACTTAGAGCTTAAAACTGGGCTCTACATTCAGTGAGATGGATACCTGACCTGCATGGCTGAGAACCTACACAGACAAAGTGGCAAATGGATAAATGATCTTCACAACCAGTGCATCCCTGGTTATGGCTAAAAACAGGAGAAGAGACGTGTTGATATAAATATTAGATTGAAAAAATTTACCTATCCTAGCTGTCATGAAAAACAAGAAAGTGGATGGATGGAAAAATGGCATTCTGGTATCATCTGGACTCTTCCATCTCAGCTGATCATTGAACAGCAGGCAGGTTTTTGTATGAGTGTTTCTCACTGTGGAAGGAGGCTATGATTACGACATCTTCGGCTCTGGAACTAAACTGTATGTAACAGGTAAGATCAAACATTTATTTTCCTCAAATACTTTCTGTTCTTCCGTAAGTAATCGAGAATTAAGAAGAAAATAAAATTAATTCAGTGTTGCAGGAAATTGAGTCCTAAAAGTCCAATCTTAGCTACACAGTGAATATCCTGATCTATAAAATTCAGCTTATTTACTCAGAATCTCCACAGCGTCTTTGTTCTTAAGAGCATTTTTTAAAGGTTAAATATAATTGTGTGTATATAGTCTCAAAATTTTAAAGAATGTTAAAAGTAATTTGCATATGCTAATTACTATAATTTTATACATTTGATAGAAAATTGGATTGGCACAAAGTAATTCATATTGGCACGCATGTTGGATGTATAGTAAATGAAAAGTACATGAGAAAAGTTAATCTAATAATGAAAAGCTTTTGTAGAATATGCAAACGGGTTTAATGAGAGTGACATAGCGCACAATTTAAAACTTCCTCTTCAGATTGTTTATTGTTAATCATGTGACCATAGTGGATTATTTCATGTCGGCTGCTATAGCAAAGAATTTCCCAAACATGGAATAAAGTGTTTAACTTTTAAAGTTGAAACAAAATGTTTAAAATAGTTATTTACACTTTTTTCTTGGAATGAGACTGAAATATATATTGATCAAAATGTCTGTTGTAAACTATAATAAACATTTTCTAGTAGGATACATTGCTGTAAAGAACATTTATATAACCCGTGATGCAGATAATACAGATGCACGTGTGCTGTGTTCTTTTATGAAAATGTTTTCTTTGTGTTTATTTTTCCTCTGAAAGCAAAGCATAAACGGGGGATAAAGTTAAGGCTATATACTAACATCCTTTATTTGTCCCACAAGGGGAAATTTGGTTGTAACAGCAGCCAGAAAAACACAAATACAAACAAACAGCACTTTTTTTTTTAAACTTATTTACATCATGGACAATAGTTACCAAAAACAGAGTGTACAGTTATTAAAATTAAATAAATTAAATACAGGTAAGAGGCAAAATGAAACTTGAATGAAGGCTGAAGCATTACAAGACATTCTTGTCTTTATATCTTTAGATAAGTACGGTGCCGGGCATATTCCTGTAATTTTATGTGAAGATAAATATGTTATTTAAATATGTAAAAATCTTATTGAATTCATTCAATTTAATTGTAATTATGTTTTTCCGCAAACTGGTACTTTATAGAAATCTCAAAAAAACAAAAAATAAGCGAGCAAACACAGTTGCCATTTAACTGTATTTCTGTTTTTAAAAGTGTTTTTCAGTTTCCATGTGATGTTTTTCCATGTAGTTTCCAGATCAGACTGAATCCAGTGTATGTAGTGAACTTTGTGCTGATGAGTAGTTTAGTGATCAGAGTCCATGTAGTTTCCAGGATCAGACTGAATGCAGTGCAGTGCTGGAAGCTGCTGCTGACTGTGTGAATGTGTGTCTGTGCTGCTTGTTGCTGCTGTCAAACTTCAGATGAGCAGGTAGTGAAGCCCGTGGTGAGCGTGTACCCAGCAGCATCCAGAGCCCACCTGGAGGGGAACAGCTCCCTGCTGTGTGTGGCCTCAGCCATGTTTCCTCCTCTGGTCCAGTTCTCCTGGAAAAGACAGAAGAAGAACGGCGGAGAAGCGGAGGAGCTGCCCCCTGCTGAGGGAGAGCAGCTGGAGCTCAGAGAGGCGGGACGCAGCGCCTCCATTTTAGTGGTTAATCGGGATGATCCCTTCACATACATATACAGCTGTCATGTGAGACATCAGGGGGGCACAGTGGAGGCCCAAACACAACAAGGTAAAAAGATTTGGCGACAGGACATCATTGATGTAGCTTTGTAAATTTGACATTTTCAAATCTGAGGGCTGATATTTCTTAAAGCATTTTATTGCTTTTCTGTTTCAGAGCTCCTCTCTTATGTTCTCCAGTCTCAGTGCAGGGTGAAGCTGCTCTGCCTGCTGTACACAGTGCTGATAGTGAAGAGTCTGGTGTACTGCTGTGGACTCTCTCTGCTGATGATGCTCACAAACAAGGGAGCGTCCACCAACTGCACACATGCTGACTGCTTTCTGATTGGCATCTTTCACACTCAGATTTCCCCACATGAGCAGGCAGACATATAAATTAAGTTGTGGCTGGTAAAATCCATCCATCTTCTTCCTCCTATTCGGGGCCGAGTCGCAGAGGCAGCAGCTTAAGCAGAGAAGCCCAGACCTCCCTCTCTCCAGTCACCTCCTCCAGCTTGTCCGGAGGAGCACCAAGGCGTTCCCAGGCCAGCCGAAAGAGATAATCTCTCCAACGTATCCTGGGTCTGTCCCAGGACCACCTCCCGCTGGGACATGCCTGGTGGTTTGGAGAAATGTTTATCATTTATACCCTTCTTAAATATAACCACCTGAAACTATAAAATAGATATGCAAATATTAAAACAGTTGTTGTTTTAAAGTGTAAATGTTTCATATGGAGTCTTCTTTCTTTTGTATAAGGTTTTGTTTTTTTTCTCCGTCAGGTATGCAAACTATCAAAACCCTGCACAAAGACGGGGAACATACGTGTGCTATGATCATTATAGTAAAGAGCTGCTTGGTTTTTTTTAAGGAATGTATATTTTTCTTCTTGACTGATAACACAAGAGGAAAGTTTTTTTTTCTTTACATGACATTTGTTGCACTTTGTATAACAAGAAGGTGGCTTGTTCCCTTTTCCACCAATCCAAATGCAAAGATATATTCTTTCTCAGTTCTGGGTCCTTGTATAGTGAATATGTGAGATTTATTCTTACAATCACAAACTTGTTTTGTACAGATTCAGCACAGGTTTAAAAAAACATCATCTAGCGCTTGGAGAAAATAATGACATTTTCAGTGAGCAGAGCAGTCCAGCACATCTGTGTTTGAACCAGTTATTCAGTTTCGGGTTTCAAACATTCAAAATCTTTTCCTCTTTAAACGTTACAGAAAAAGTAATGGTGCCTCTTGGCTTCACTCCAGGATCATGCAGCTGTGCCATTCATGTGGGTTGATGCTTGAAACCTAGTGTAACAGTGTAGTTGTTTTATGTAAAAATAAAGACTTGATTCTGATGAACGTGTTTCTCGTTTCAGTCTTTGATGCATAACGACGTATATGAATGTAGCATTCACAGATCAAACTTGCTCTCCTGCAGCAGACGGGCTGTGTGGGTTTCTGCTCTGCAGCCTCCACACCGTTAGCTGTGGCTTTCACTTTAATAACACAATGACAGTTACAAGCAGGAACTCTGCTTCAAGAATGATTCCAGGAAGGATCTGTGTTCTTCACCTGTGAGAGAAACAGCTCAAATCCTCAACTCACAGCTGACAAATGAACTTATTTGAACTTTATCATTATACATGTGTAAATACAGGGTGATGAAATGCACTTTTAATTTGGTTTCATCACAAAAGAAAAATACAAAATGTCTAAATATTATCTCACAGAATCATTGTTGGACGTTTAACTGAAGAAGTGGATAAATCAAGACAATGACACTTGTAAAAACAGTCACAGAAGCCAACAGTCAGTAGTACATTGTGTCTTTGATCTGGTTAATTATTCAGACTTTTTATTAATTTAAAAATTAAATAGTAACTGAAAAAATAAAGTCTGTTGTAGTTGAGGATCAGTATTAAATGCAACTCTGAACATATAATCAGTTATCACATTTAAACATTTCTGCGCCTGACTCTGCTAATTGTAAAAATTATTAAATTATTTAGTCTGACCCTGGTGACATAATAGATTATAGCGCATGTGAAACGTGCAAGAATATCAATATTTTGAGCATCATTTTTAGTTTATTTAACCTTTATTTATACATTTAGTCCCATTGAGACTCATGTCTCATGTACAAGAGAGACCCGTTTCCTCCAAACATGAAAATGTTTATTTACTGATGAAATTTCAAACAGATGTATTTGAACTCCTCTGTCAGCTGACATGTAAATGTTACATTTGAGAAACTTCTGTTTCTTCTTGTACGTTCATGTGAGAGACCGAAGCTCTAAGACAAAATATGCAGAATAAAATTTTGATTAAAACTCTTATTGATTTTCTGATGAACTGCAGTGAATTAAAACGGACTAAACATGAAGCAGATGCTGATTTTTATTATTTATAAAAACTTTTAGAATATTAAATGAAAAGGAGTCCATCTACTAGAAAACTGTTGAGTCCAAGTAAAGAATTAAATGAACATGAATGTCAGGGTAAGTACAAAAAACCAAAAACAAACTTGCCCCCCTCCCCATAAACCCCCCACATTGAGCCACAACACATCGCTTTTATTTTCACCTACTGAGAGTGTGAGGAAACAGTCAGTCAGCATGTGTGCAGTTGGTGGACGCTCCCTTGTTTGTGAGCATCATCAGCAGAGAGAGTCCACAGCAGTACACCAGACTCTTCACTATCAGCACTGTGTACAGCAGGCAGAGCAGCTTCACCCTGCACTGAGACTGGAAGAGAGGCCTGTGGAGCCTGGAAGTGAAACACAAAAGACGTGTGTTGTCCGTGTCTTTAAGGGGATTCACAGTGGAACAGGCACCAAGGCTTAAGGGCCTTTTTCTGGTTGACCCTCCATGTTCCCCCTCATGCTTGACATAGCAGCTGTATCTGTACGTGTAGAGATCATCTGTATAATCTACTAAAATAGAAGTTGTCCGTCCCGCCTCTCTGAGCTCCATCTGCTCTCCCTCAGCAGGGGGCAGCTCCTCCGCTTCTCCGCCGTTCTTCTTCTGTCTTTTCCAGGAGAACTGGACCAGAGGAGGAAACATGGCTGAGGCCACCATAACCGCATTAAGACGGCAAATCTGCTGTAACGAGTTAACGCGGATCGCCTCGTGCGTGGGGCTGCACGGCGTCAACGCGTTAGCACGGTTAGCTCATTAACGCGTTAGCACCGTGCAGCCCCACGCACGAGGCGATCCGCGTTAATTCGTCACAGCAATAGTTACAATATAACAACAATAACAACAATAATAATTGAAGCTTTTGCAAACATTTATGTCTGAGGCTGAAATCAGTCTAAATGCTCATCGTTGTGTTTAATCAAATCACTTTTACTGTCACATCACATGTGCTGCTGCACTGAATCAGCACATGTGAGTTTAATATGTAATCAATATTTAAATGATAGTTAATCTGAGCAGTTACTAAACCCCGTTCGTCGTGCTGCTATAGGCAAAAGAAAAAAACTAACTTTCACTCATTTGCTTTCTAAGGTTCATTTTGCTTTCACCAGGTTGAACCTTGTTTTACTTTCATTCTTTGGGGCATAGATTGAACACAGCGTTGCAAACCTTCCTCATTGATTCATGTCCACATTGATGATGACAGCGTCACACAGTTTGACATGTTAGCTGCACACACGATGTGAATTTGCTGTTTGACCACATCCCAGAGCTGTTTATTTCTACTTTACAATCATTACAGGTTAAACAATGTTCTATTCCAATATTGAAACACTTCTGTAGAGATTCCTCTCCAAATAAGACATGTGATCCAACCAAGATCAATAACAGTAGTGCTGCATTAGCTTCAAAGTTTATTGCAATCCAGATGTTTGGTATTATAAAGAGACACCTTAATTTATTAATATACTAACATTTACTAAAACCGAACCTCAACTATATTCAGTCAAAACAGTTTTTATTGTCCTGCGATTGAGCCACAGGAAGTGTTTCCAAACTTGTCATCAAAAGACATTTTTATTATTGCATCATTTTACAAGAGTTACTTATTGCAGAAGTTAATAAATGATTTCTTTTGTTGTGTCTGTGATTTCTTGCTGACAGCTGCTGAAATATTAATCTGAAAAAGTTTCATTTCTGCAGCAACTTCTGATTGTGGTAATTAAGTCTGTGAGCTCAGTATGTTTGTGACTCTGAGATGGAGGTGAAACATGTGAAGCTGGGCTGTGGTTTACTGCTCTCTTCCTGTCACAGACACTGTTTGACATCTGTTCATCTGTTGGTTTTTGTTCAGGCTGCAGGGATCATTTGTTATTGTGATGATCAGTTTTGAAACAGGAGCTGTAGTGTGTGGCTGCGTGAACAGGTTTAACTTTGTCTCTCTGAAGCTCACATCCATTCTGTTTATTCACATTGAGAAATCATCTTTCTGAGGAAGATTACAACTTGATTCAACTTGACTGTCGAGTTTATCTATGTTAAGAATCGCTGTAAAAACTTATTTGTCTGGTTTCTGGTACCAGAATACTAATCTTCCATCACGCTGTTCAGTCCCTCCTCAGCTGAAGGAGGAATTTTCTCCAACATTCCTGGTCAATGTTAAATCACCCTGAGTCAGCTCTGCTGCCACAGTAACCAGCACTGTGGACACACACACACACACACACACACACACACACACACACGGTTGTTTTCATGGTCTTTGTTAAAATTGGATGTCTCCTGATTGGCTGGAAACACTCACCTGAACACAGACAGCACAGAGCAGCAGCTGGGAGGAAAAGCATTTTGTGCAGTGGTGTTTCCTCTGGTGAACCTGGGGAGAAGTGGCGCTCTGATGCAGCTGAGGCCAAACAAGGACGAGCTGAAATGTAACGAGTCTTCAGACTTCCTATTGGACAAAAGACAAGACTGGTGGTGCTTATGTGCTTAAAATGCATTAAAATAAATGTGTTAAGTCTTTAGTAACATGATGAATTTGGAGAAAACAAGCGTCTATTTGACTGATTTAAGTTTAACGTCACAGTAAATAACTGGAAACATTTTAGTAACCACATGTCAAAACACAGTTATGTTTTCAGTGTCTCACACAGCTGAATGAAATTAGCAATAAAAACATTTTTTCTCTGATCATTTTTTCTTTTTAATATCAACTCATACTGACCTGGATGATTGAGCACGCATGAAGACATATCAGTTGATACATTTCTTACAGACCTTTACAATAAATATACACTTGTTTGTTATTATTTCAGGAACCAATATAAATACAAATATAATATAAATATTTTGACTCTACTGTACTTTGTTATGCACAAATGTTCACAGTTTTTGTTTTGTTATTTTAGGGAAGACAACAAACACACTGTACGTTCACACTTTATAATATCTTCTGTAAATGCTCTTCTCAGTGGAAAATTATGGGTAAGAACGAAGGTCGAGTGTTGAGCCTGAGCATCGTCTCTCCTCTGATTCCACTAAAGTTCATTTCTCAGCTCTGAGTCCAGGACTTGAGCTGTTTCTCTCACATGTCAGGTCGTTACTGGAATCATTCTTATCTAGAATTGGTGGTTGCAGCTGTTGTTGTGTTGAAATGCAAAGCCACAGCTGACAGTGGAGGCTGCTGAACAGAAACCCACACAGCCCGTCTGCTGTAAGAGAGGAAGTTTGATTCACACAGGTCAGCGTGT